CCTCGTCAGGAGCAAACAAAAATTAAAACATTTGACAAGGTGTTAACGCGTTTGCTCCTGTCGAGGACAAAATATTTTTGTCGAAATGTCGAGTTAATAAAAAGATTTACTGGCCGAAGTATCTTCAATTTGAAGAACTATAAATGCCGGCCAGGCAGCCTTTATCTTTAAGATAAATATATATACAGTTGTATATCTTTTGAACGAAAAATCGAAATTTATTTTAAGGAGAAATAACGATTATTTCTAACCTTAGGGATGAAGTATGAAAGGATGAATTGTGAATAGTAATGATAAACGGAAAAATAAAGTGTTCAGGGATGAGAATCGAACCCAGTGTTTGGGATAATTTTCAAATGTCGCTCTACAATCATAAGCCGCATTATATTGTATTATAAACAGTTGTATATGCACAAATTTCTTCAACCAGGAAGGCTCCTCCACCTTGATAGTGCTCAAGATAAGGAGAGGATCTTCTTTAGAGAATGCTTACTTTGTTTGTGTAACTCGATCGATATAGTTTTCAGATAAAATTCCACACTCTATGTAAATAAGGGGAATGGAAGAATTGAGGAATGATTTCTATATTTATTGCCGGGGCGCAGCGTCTATATGCATATACGATATGTAGGAGGGGGAAGGTAAAAAGGAACAATATGCAAATAGGTAAATCACATGTTGCCATTAGGAAAGTAAATTGCAACAAAACTAAGCTTCGTAACTAATGTTCCTTATAAGGTAAATAAAGCTATTGTTAAGCTTTTATATTTTCTGAAAATATTGTATAGCGTAATTTTAATTCTCATTTTTTTAAAGCTCTTTCCCGGGAGTTTAAGATATTTAGTTGAATCACACAAATCCTTGTTTGGGACTCCCTGCTACATTGCCCTCTCCGCTTCCTTACAGAAAGGTTACACGGAAATAATTCCGATAGATGGCATTTGTCCAACTTTTTTAGACTGCGAGAAAAGTCGTTGTTCTTTTAATTTCCTTTTACCGCATTCTCGGCGGTCGATTCAATTCAAAGCCAGTACTACTGAGGGGAGTCTGGAATCCCTGCAAGGGGGGAGGAGAAGTATGGGAGAATTAGGAAAAGAAATATGGGTGAGGGGAGGGCGTGGGGAGTATGGCAACAATCTGGGGAATGTGCGGCTGATGAAATCCACCCAGGATGGGGAGAAATTCGATGAGTGCTCCAACTGGAGATAATGAGAAATCGAGAAAAACTTTGAAAAGATCCACGAACTAAAATAAGTAAAGCATAAAATATTCTAATAACACACAAAGCCAAACCAAAGATCTACTACCGCCATGAGAGAAGGAGAAAAAAAAAAATAAAACGTTCATAGATAAATTCTAATAATGTTTACTTGTCCTTTAAAGAGCTATGCTCGCCACAAAAAAAAAATGTTTAGAATTTCTATAACCAAAAAAATATATATATATAATTCTCAATCATTTCCAAAATACCCCGATTATCTTTAATATCTCTATTTTTGTCTATGTTTGATTTTTGTTTAAACACATGCACAACCATCATCTAAGTTATGTCCCTCTATCTGTTCTAAACACAACACCGTCTGTGTTTTGTGAGGCCACCTAATGTATGAAAGGCAGGCTGAAGTGACGGTATAGGTAGGAGGAAAACCTTTATTATTATTATTATTGGGAGACGATAATTTAAAAAGTTGGGCCATTTTGTCCCATCAAACACCAACATATTATGACATGGTCGCAATAGGGGAAGAAAAAAAAGAGAAAGCCACATACGCACAAAGTATATAAACTACACAAGTTACCCCCCGACATAGTGAAAATGTTGATTGACAAAACTACGATAGAGAGGTAGGTAGATAGTACAAACTTCATCTCAACCCCCTACTATCATTATCATCTTTCACAAATATTGATTCTTGGGAGGATGGATAACAACTCTGCTACTGCTGCTGGGTAAAAAAAGTTAAAACAATAGGAGAGACTGGGGAGATTGTTTTGAGAAAAAATACAAGGTCCGTATATTGCCAAAAATATTTTAAAATGTCAATATAGAATATGTTAATACAAAGCAATAACGCGCCATTTATATACAACGAATGAAGACATTAATACGCGAATGTTTCTTTTACAAATAAATCAAACTTCTACTGTCCTTACTGCGATGAAAAATATATTGGGAGGGCTTGGTTCATCAGTGGTGAACCCTCCCAGCGGTTTCGCCAATTTAATCTACCAGACCGCCTCTTTAGAGCTCTAATACTTTATTGGATCATTCTGATTTTATAAGCTACACTGAATGGTGGAATCTTAGAATTGGTATTTTAGCAAACTATGGACATAAGCTTTTAGGACAGTAGAATTACATTTAAATAAATAGAATGTTACTTATATCCCAAGAAGGCATGGTACAAACCACGATAATACTCATGATGGGTAGGTAGTTAGCGAGTGCTTTTTACCGTAAACGTAGCACATGTCTGGACATGTAGAAAACGGTGGTTCGATTCCAACAGAGCCAAGGACGGGAGCGGTCGATACGAGCGGGGCGCCGTCGCCAGGTGTGCAAATAATCACAATATTGCCCAAATGGTAATTCAAAACTCCCTGTCATTTAAACCTTTATTATAGCATGTTGAGAGGCGATTATTATAGAAACTTGTGGGATGTGTGGAAGAGAGGAGAGGGAAGAATGGAAGCAGCAAGAAATCACGTCCCGAGCGCACCCAACCCTCCTGTGTCTGTCAACACATGGAGAAGTCGAGCTCGACTTTTGAACTTACGCCCAGTCTGGTTACTTGTGCAAGAAACGGAAGCCAATTGAGGCAATCCTTTTCAGAAAGAAAAAAAAAAAAAAGGGGGGGGGGTGTCTAATGCGGGATTCGATCCCGTGTCGTAGACGTCCAAAAAATCGCCACCTATACACCTCATATAGAAGAAGTAAGGGGAAAAAAGCTACTTGGAACAACATCACGCCACGTGCCGATAGGTGCAGGTTTTTATGAAGGCGTTGATAGCCGGTTGAGAGCAAGATAAGAACTCTGTGAGGAGCGGGCAAATTGAATCATGGAAACAGGAGGCTGGACAAATCCTGTTACGATATTTCTTACAAACGGCTCCAGGTGAGAGAAACTGCTGCTAGCCGTGTGTGCCAAATAACTGTACAAATGACTTAAAGATTTCTTTCTATTCCAAGACTTTTCTATTCTACGAGGTAAGGGGTGAAATAAAATTGGCGTTTTTCAATTTAATTTAACTTTCTTTTTTGGACTGTGGCTTGTAACGTTACTAAGTTGGGAAGAATAAATGAGTACATTCTTTGTACAGGCAGGAGTGGGTCAACTATTTATATCTTCAGACAAAACATTTGATATAAAAATGTTGGTTGGTATAGTATATACACTCATGGACAAACGAAAGTTGTACATTTTAACATGTATATCGGGTCAATAACTCTGAAAGAGATTTTAGTGACCTTTATTGAAGACAAACGAGATAACCAAATGTGAACAAAATCGCCTCTTTCTCAAAAAAAAGTAGACGACCGACGACATCAAAGACTTTCCACTTCCTTAAGTTTTTGCCCATGAGTGTATATGTAGTATATATGTAATACAGCTGAATGCCTTTTCCTGCTCTTCACTCAATGGCTTGCCATTAACTCCTGTCTCCCTACACTTTGATGAGTCCGACCTACTTTGTCTGCACCAACTAGGTTATGACAGAGGTATTTAGAGACCAGATGGGAAGTCCAGCTGCATTCCTTACAACATGACAGGAGCTCTGCTCTCAATGGTACAACTCCAAGGAATACAGCATTTTACCAGAACTGTCTTTCTTTCACAATGAGATACACATCATGACATAGATGTGTGTGTGAAAATAGTACAAAAGTGAAATTGCACTGGGATCAGGTAGTTTATATTAAGAAAAAAGACATCTCTTGATCGTGCAACTAAAAGTTGCTGATGGCTTGCACCATCTGTCGGAATCAACTATAACTGTTGATTTTTAATTATTCCAGAATTAGGGGTATTTGGTCAATGATGGCTTGCACCATCTGTCAATTAATTGATATTTATTCCAACAGATGGGGCAAGCCATCATCAACTTTTAATTGCACGATCAGGAGATGTGCTATTTCTTTATATATGTATGTGTGTGTGCCACTAAAGTTGATTATAAGTGTCGCAGAAATGCCTTAAAATATCACTTTTTATATCATTAAATGATTTGATAACAATTTGGATTATAGATGAGAAACATAAGAGAGGTAACAACCCCACATACAAATAAATAATTTATAGATGTGGTCTTGTTACTTTAAAGTATTAAATAATTTCTGAAATTAAAAAAAAATCTGTAAAACACATAGTTTTGAGATAATGTGAAAAAAGAAATGTGGTATTTTGCTCCTTTTTCTTTTTTTTTTTAATCCATTATGCATTTAAAAATAATATATATGTAATAATTCACACAAGGTAATAAGACCAAATCCAAATAAATAGTGTGTGACGTTTAGGTAACAGCGTTGTTAACATCATCGGACTAAAGTAGTTTGGTACCTGCAGCTCCAGAACACATTTTGGCTTGCATTAGATGCACTAAACAGGACCTTTGGGAGAGGCTGCTGCTCATCATAAAACAGCTCGAGGAGCATGAACTCATGGAATTCGTGTAATCTTCACACAGGGGGATAAGAAACAACAACAACAAAGTACTGAATAATTGTCCGAAGATGGTAACAAGGCTGTTACTGAAACTTCACACACTATTTATTTATTTGGATTTAGTCTTATTACCTTGTGTTTATAATCTACTAGACGAATGGCCCGGGCAACGCCCGGGTTTTACCCGAGTGCGTATATATTTTTAAAATGTTTTAATTAAAATACTATTCGTTACAATTATAAATTGGCGCCGTGGATGTCTCTCTTGTGAAACGTCCCGCCCCAAACTGTGTGTGTCTTGAAAATATAAAAATAAAAATGTGAACGGAAAAATATGTCCAGGGTAGCCTAGTGGTCATGGCATCTGCGGAAGGTCGTTGGTTCGATTCCCATTCCTTGACACTTTTTTTATTTTATCCATTCTGACCAAAATCTATCCATGAACTTCACACAGTGAACTTCACACAGAGAGAATAAGGCAATTATATAAGTAGATAATCCAAATTGTGCCTTATCACACACTATTTTTTTATTTGGCCTTATTACCTTGTGTTTATAATCTATGACGTAATGCCGGCGGCGCGTGCCCGTTGGCTGCCGGCGAGCACGTGACCTCCCTGTGCGCGCGCATCCGTGACAGAACCGGCCCATGACGGTCGTGACTATATATGTTGATGGATAATAATAATATAATAATAATTATAATTATTATTATTATTATCATTAGATAATGATTAATGATCATAATGATGATGCGCGCGCATCCGTGACAGAACCCATGACGGTCGTGACTATATATGTTGATAATCAACAAATTGTGCCTCATCATGTAATAATTAAAAAAATATCTGAGATCATTTAGAGTAAAACCTCACTTTTGCCAGCCCTAATAAGTTTTCATTCTTAGCCATGGTTTACTTAAATGCTACGAGAGAATACACCTCCTCATGGATGTTCTACTGTTTTTGTCCTAAAACTTTGCCCCACAATATAGAGTTAGGTATAGAAGGATTCAATGCTCCAAACCTGGAATACACAATTCATCCCAATAATTTACCTCATCATCTGGGCTTTTTTTTTTTTAAACAAATGACCATAATAATGCATATATTAAACACAACTCCGCCTTTGCCGGTCCCAAGCCCGGATGAAAAAGGAGGAGGGGGAGCAGTAACAAGCTCGCTAAAAAAACCTGGGCACAGCTGGCCCGGCTGATAGAACCCTGTAAGGGCTCCTGATCCAGGGATAGAGGATGAGCAGCGTTTGTACTCCATGTTAGGAGCGGCTCAACCTGGCATCTGTTCCTCATGTCAGAGACGGCCATTTCTTTTGGAGCTAAGTTGGCCTGCCACTGAGTAGTGCCCCCAGTCTTAATGACAAAGGCAGACGCATTCTACTTCACTCACATTGACTCATCCATTGATGAGCTCTACTCTTCCCCGGCAGACACCATCAAAAATCTCAAGCTTTACAAGCTTGATACCTTAGTGTGATTGAGTGGAGATAGAAAGAAGAAGAAGAAGATATATTAAACAGAATAATTATTAATTAGAGGTATAACTTTAATAAGGGTGGTGGCCATTCCAGAGGTCTGTTCATTAAACAAACATATGTCTATATATTGTCTTAATATAATAAATATGTTTTTGTGCGCAGTAAAAAAAAAACCTTAAATAGCAAATCTAACTTTGAAAAAGTGCTGCTGGTGGTCAGGAAAGGTTGGTAACTATGACACTAGAATTGTGTTGTAGATATAGGAGGACAAGGTGTCTGTCTGTCTCAGCAGCTACGATACAAAAGGCTATTTTAGAAACAAAAAGAGGATCAAAGTCCCCACCTTGACCTTGTCTCTCATAAATAAACACACCACCACATACACACTTCTTTATTAAAAGCTTCCATCTTATCAACTCTTCATTGAAACAAGGTAATAAGACCAAATCCAAATAAATAAATAGTGTGTGACGTTTCGGTAACAGCGTTGTTACCATCTTCAGACAAAAAGTACTGAATGTGAAATTTTACCACAGCATGGTTTTAAATAGTTCCTGTTATCAAGGTGTGTAAAACAAGATAACAGATAACAGTAACTATTTAAAAACATGCTGTGGTAAAATTTCTCATTTAATACTTTTGTCTGAAGATGGTAACAACGCTGTTACCGAAACGTCACACACTATTTATTTATTTGGATTTGGTCTTATTACCTTGTGTTTATAATCTATATTCCAAATTGTGCCTTATCAACTATTAATTGAGAATATCAATGGTAATATAAACCTAGTCTGAGCCCACAATTTGTCTTAAAGACTTTTTTTTTTTTAATATGGCACAAGAGAGAGAGAGTACAAATTCTTAAAATGAATAAACATCGGGGATATTTCTGGAAAGATATTACTGCTGAATTGTCACAGAGACATGAATACTAAGGTTTTATATACGTATTTATACTTGAAAAAGAGAGTGCAAAATTGTCAAAATGTAATTGAAAAAAAAAAAAGAGATATATTTTAAAAATAGATCAAAATTAAGAAAAGAGATAAATGAGATATCCCGAGTTATCGTGAATAAGAAAGAAGTGGTTTAAAAGGAGGAAAATATGAAAAGAAAAAAACCAATGTAAATATAGGGATAAATACTTCATAATTTTCCACATGTCATCATCCTTGCACAGAGCCCATTGATAATCTATTTCTTTCCAATTTTAGTATAGGTACCGCCAAATAGATGTGTAGGGGCTTATAGATAGAAAGGAAAGAAGAAAATAAAAAGGTAGCGGAGAATAAAGAGACCAAATCTCCAAATGAGTAAACTACATGTGGCACTTCATTGTGCTATCACAATCTGTCAATCTTTTTCTTCACAAGGTTTTTTCACCATTACCAAACAAATAAATTGAAACTTACATTTCAGTAGTAACAGCATTGTTACCAATCTTCAGACAAAAGCTGTTACCTTCAATATATAATTTATTTATTTGGTCTTTACAAGAAAATAAGACCTAATCCAAATTATATTTAATAGTGTGTGATGTTTTAACAACAGCATTGTCACCATCATCAGACAAAAGAAAAAATGTATTTTAATCTATAATCCAAATTGTGCTTTCATTATTTGGTCTTTTTTCACCTTGGGATTCTCCTTATCACTAATACCAAAAAGTATACCTCCATCACTGTGTTTCAACTACATTCCAAATTGTAATAATTCTTATAGAGATAGAATTTCAAAGAGCAATCCAACAACAGGGTGGAAAAAAGAAGCAGTTTCATTCAAGAGTAGAAAAAAATATACAGTATATAGTAGAACCTCCTTTTAGCGGATACCTCTCTACAAAGGACAGTTTTCATTTGTAAAATTACCATTTTTACAATTAAGCAACTCTCCTGTAATAGGACACCTCTCCCTAAAGGACACTTTAGCTCTGCAATTAGGTGTTGTCCTTTACAGGGAGGAGGTTCTACTGTATATATTATATTTCACAAGTATTGTCACAGCCTGTTACAACCTCAAAACCTACGTGTCCAAAACCCATCAAAAATTATCATAGATTTCACCCAATCCAGCCATAGCTCCCAGAAGTCTGGTGGTAACATTCCAATGGGACAAGAAGGATATTGCATCACATTACCCCGGAGTAACAAGTCGTCAACAGTTAGGAAACCGGAGTAGAACTGCCACTGCCAACTTGCCTCTGTAGCAAATATCTGAAATTTGCTCTGTGCATGTAACCTAGAAGGGAAAAAAGGATGGTGGAGAAGGGCTACTTGTATCAAGCAGCAAGTGGGCAACTCCAGTGGTGGTAGTGCCCAAGAAGATTAAGGAGTTTAGGATTTGTTGTGATTTAACTTTAAATAGGTTCTTGGATACTCCAGCATATATATCCACTACCTACTAAGCAGGTTCTGTTTTCTGTCTTGGCCAGAGGGAAGTATTTCTCTAAACTAAATTTGAGCAATGCATACCTTCAATTGGAGGTAGACCCTAGCCACTCCTGATGATTAATGCGCATAGGAGGCTTTTTTTAGGTCTAAAAGGATGCCTAACTCCGCCTTTGCCGGTTCCAAGCCCGGATAAAAAAGGAGGAGGGGAGAGCAGTTAGAAGCTCGCAAAAAAAACTGGGCTCAGCTGGGCAGGCTGGTAGTACTCTGTAAGGGCTCCTAATCCAGGGATACAGGATGATCTGTACTCCATGTTAGGAGCAGCTGTACATGGTGTCTGTTCCTGATGTTAGAGGCGGCCATTTCTTTTGGAGCTAAGTCGGCCTGCTACTGAGTAATGCTCCCAGTCTTATTGACAATGGCAGACACATTCTACTTCACCCAGTCATGATGGTTGTCGCCTGATACCCTGATATGATTGAGTGGAGATAAGAAAGAAGGATGACTTTTGGATTATCAAATGGTTCTAGTTTTTTTTCATCGGTTATGGATAGAGTATTGGCGGGTATAGAGGTAGACATTTATTTTAGTTGTTGTATTACATTAACTATGTTTGTTGTTCATGTTTCAAATAAATAAAGATCTGTTTGAGTCTTCTTTCTGTTGGTCTGAATGAAAAGATTGGGTTGACAGGAATACAAGAATAAGAGGTTTTAAGAAGATTGAGATGGGAATAAAGGAAGCCTGTTGAAGGTCATGGGAAAAATTGAATGGGACATATATTAAGACAAGTTATTTGATGAAGAAACTTCTGGGGGGGATTCTTCCCCTTCTTCTGGGGGGGGGAAAAAGACAGTTGGAGGATGTAGAACTAAACAGATGGTCTGGAATGGAGGCTAGGGAGAAATAAAGAGAAACATTCAAGATAGAGATAAACATATCACTGAACCTCTACTAAAGAAATAGCTACAAAAAACACAAAGTAATAAGACCAAATCCGAATATATAAATAGTGTGTGACGTTTTGGTAACAGCGTTGTTACGAAACGTCACACACTAATTATTTATTTGGATTTGTGTCTATAATCCAAATTGTGCCTTATTATAGCTACAAGAAAGTAAGACCTATTCCAGTTAAATTAATAGTGTGTGACGGGGTAACAACACTGTTACCGAAATGTCACACATTATTAATTTGGATTAGGTTTTACTTTCTTGTAGCTATAATCTATAATCCAAATTGTGCCTTATCACTCTACTAAAGAAGAGAGAAAATATGAATAAAAACATGATTGATTGATACTTGATTGGGAGTAGAGAAGCCCCTCTACAAAATTGTAACAGTAAAGATGATATATATGAAATATTTAAGCCTTTTTTTTGTAGGAAAATATGGAAATAGGAAACAAATATTTGAACCTACTTTGCTATTTCTACCTCAATATCCAGTAAAAACAAGTCGCTAACTACCCACCATAATTATAATGGCCTGTATAACTTGTAAATAAATAGCTGTATCGG